TCTGATAATATTTAGGGGATGAAATGGACCAAATACTAAATTCTTTTCGGTTTTTCTGATCACTCCAGATGCCGCAATTATGGCCCGAACATCGTGAAATTTTGCATGGAGAAGGGGATCGGGCCAAAGAATAAACATGCCTGTTTTGATAAAGATCGGTCAATATTTAGCGGGTCAAATGGACCCAGACTTTTGTATGAAAAATGACAAAAATTTGGATTCTATGGCGTATATTTTTACTCCTAAAGGATATGGACCCAATAAGTTGATAGTAAATCCAAGAGGAGAGGCTGACCTTTAAATTGATACTAATTACATTGTAGTATGTACGCAAGTGGGAGTTACACGCAAATATTTACAGGTGTTTACGTACTGAGATATTATTTAGTAACCCATTACAGCACTAGAGGGCGGAAGTATAGCCCTGATCTTTTTGAAATTTTCCATGAGGTTCCAGTTATGGTCAACGACAGCGCTTATAATTTTCGGTGATGATCAGATAATAATTTTGGGATGAAGTGGACCGAAAACTTAATTTTTTGCAATTTTTCGAATCGATCTATAGGCCATAGTTATAAGCCGATCATCACCATACAACCCACGCTGAAGTCAATCAGGACAAGTAATTAGAAGGGTTGTACTGAATATTAGTAATATTCGGAAAAATATGTCAGTGTATGGAAGATGTGCTGTTGACCTCTAATCGGGCACGAAATATTTCCCAGACTTGGAATAAACTTCCTAAGAAAGTTAGAACTCCATTGTAGTTGAGTAGGGTATCATATGGTCGGCCCTGTCCAACTATACTGCTTCGCTCACTGGTTTTTCTGAGGCCTAATTTGATTTTCTTAAAATTAATTTTCTAAGTTCCTAGTCAAGGCCTGGAGTTTTTATACCCTTCACCACACTGTGGTACAGGGCATTATGTCTTTGTGCATATGTTTGTAACAGGCAAAAGGAAACGAGATAGACCCCTGGTTCCTTATGAGAATATGCATAGAATCACATTCTAAGTCGGTTTATGCATGTCCGTCCGTCTGTCTGTCCACGTTAAATTGTAAACAAATTACAGGTCGCATTTATTTTCCGATTTGGATGAAATTTGGCATAGGTCACTTATTTGGCCCAAGGACGAACGCTATAGAAATTGTGAAAAATCAGATTTAGATATAGCTCCCATATATATTTTCGTCCGATTTTAGGTAAATTGTGCACCAAAGTTCCTATTTATCCTTTGATTTGTATGAAATTTGGCATAGGGTACTGAATTTAGCCTAGAATGATGAGTGGTAAGTTTCGAGAAAATCGGTTCAGAATTAGATATAGCTTCCATATATAGCTTTTTCCGATTTTATGTAATTGGTGCACCAAAGACCCTATATATCCTTCGATTTGCACGAAATTTGGCACAGCGTACTATGTTAAGTCTAGAATGATGTGCGCCAAGTTTCGTGAAAATCGATTCAGATTTAGATATAGCTCCCATATATATTTTCGTCCGATTTTAGGTAAACAGTACACCAAAGACCCTATATATCCTTCGCTTTGCACGAAATTTGGCATAGCGTACTGAATTAAGCCTAGAATGATGTGTGTAAAATTTCTTGAAAATTGGTTCAGATTTAGATATAGACCCCATATATATTTTCATCCGATTTAAGGTAAATGGTGCACTAAAGTCAATATATATCTTTCGATTTGCACGAAATTTGGCATAGGTTACTGAATTAGGTCCAAAATGATGTGTGCGAAGTTTCGTGAAAATCGGTTCAGATTTAGATATAGCTCCCATATCTATTTTCGTCCGATTTTAAATAAATGGTGCACCAAACTCCCTATATATCTTTTGATTTGCACGAAATTTGGCACAGCGTACTGAATTGAGCCTAGAATGATGTGTGCTAAGTTTGAAAATCGGTTCAGATTTAGATATAGCTCCCATATTTATTTTCTTCCGATTTAAGGTAAATGGTGCACCACAGTCCCTAATTATCTTTCGATTTACACGAAATTTGGCATAGGGTACTAAATTAGGTCCAGAATCATGTGTGCTAAGTTTTGTGAAAATCGGTTCAGATTTAGATATAGCTCCCTTATATATTTTCGTCCGATTTAAGGTAAATGATGCACCAAAGTCCCTATTTGTATTTCGATTCGCAATGTTCGTTACCTGTTGTCAGAGGACACGTAGCAAATCGATATAAAACAATGGCTGTTTTTATTAGTTTCACCCGAAACAAATATCAGTCAACAGCAACCAGAAAAGAAATAAAAGAAATCGACAACAAAAACAACAATGGAAAAGAAGACATAGAAAAGGAAAATAAAAAACAAAAAATATGTTGCTTATGGCATTGATAACTTTGTTCATCGATTTGCTTACGGAACTCCAAGGAACAAACTAACTGACAATACCAATAAATGGCAAATATATATTTGGGGACAAGCACTCACACACACACTCCCAAAGAAGCCATCACCTACACACCAGGACCACCAAGCAGCAGCTAAGAAACGTGACGGAATCTAAAAACGATTTTTTTTTTGAAGAGAAAACAATGTGATTTCTTTGCGAACGAACGACCGAACCTGGAAAAGGTTGCTTTTTATTATTTATGACCTTTAAGTGTGTGGGTGTTGGTGTGTGAGAGAGCCATGGAGAGGGGTAGAGCGAGCTACGTGGGAGTTCGAAATAAAATATTGCAGTAGCATAACGTTAATCATAACATATTTGTTGGTGTTGTTGTTTTATGGAAATAGTGTAACGAATTTGTTTTTATTATAATCTATTTTCAAATAACTTATCATCACGTCACGTAAGTGGCACGTAACATAATTCCGATGGGTTGGGTTCGACTATCCCCCCACCCCCTCAAAAATATATTTATGGATGGTTCAAGACATTCATTTAATTAAGAAGTTAAATAAAAGATGAATGGATCAGTGTCTGGTTTTATGTGACCAGTTGAGGGTGAAAGGGAGGGGGAGACAGAGAGAGAGAAAGGGAGAGAAAGGGAGAGAAAATAACGACAATGATGTATGGGGCGTATGAGTGCTGTCGCCACTCATACGCCAACAAGGGCTGTTAATTAAAAATTAATATTAATGTCCAAAGGATGGACTTTAATAAAGAAATAGAAAAAAATTCCGACCTCTGGGTCTCCGAATTTTTTTCTATAGAAAAAAATCCGACCTCTTGGTCTCCAAATTTTTTTGGAGTTTTTTTCTATAGAAAAAAATTCGGAGAACCTCAGTTCGCAGTTTTTTTCTATAGAAAAAAATTCGGAGAGCCTCAGTTCGCAGTTTTTTTCTATAGAAAAAAATTCGGAGAACCTCAGTTCGTAGTTTTTTTCTATAGAAAAAAATTCGGAGAACCTCAGTTCGCAGTTTTTTTTCTATAGAAAAAAATTCGGAGACCCTCAGGTCGGACGTTTTTTCTATAGAAAAAAATTCGGAGAACCTCAGTTCGCTGTTTTTTTCTATAGAAAAAAATTCGGAGAACCTCAGTTCGCTGTTTTTTTCTATAGAAAAAAATTCGGAGAACCTCAGTTCGCTGTTTTTTTTTCTATAGAAAAAAATTCGGAGAACCTCAGTTCGCTGTTTTTTTTCTATAGAAAAAAATTCGGAGAACCTCAGTTCGCTGTTTTTTTCTATAGAAAAAAATTCGGAGAACCTCAGTTCGCTGTTTTTTTCTATAGAAAAAAATTCGGAGAACCTCAGTTCGCTGTTTTTTTCTATAGAAAAAAATTCGGAGAACCTCAGTTCGCTGTTTTTTTCTATAGAAAAAAATTCGGAGAACCTCAGTTCGCTGTTTTTTTCTATAGAAAAAAATTCGGAGAACCTCAGTTCGCTGTTTTTTTCTATAGAAAAAAAATCGGAGAACCTCAGTTCGCTGTTTTTTTCTATAGAAAAAAATTCGGAGAACCTCAGTTCGCTGTTTTTTTCTATAGAAAAAAATTCGGAGAACCTCAGTTCGCTGTTTTTTTCTATAGAAAAAAATTCGGAGAACCTCAGTTCGCTGTTTTTTTCTAAAGAAAAATATTCGGAGATCCTCAGGTCGGAGTTTTTTCTATAGAAAAAAATTCGGAGATCCTCAGGTCGGAGTTTTTTTCTATAGAAAAAAATTCGGAGACCCTCAGGTCGGAGTTTTTTTCTATAGAAAAAAATTCGGAGACCCTCAGGTCGGAGTTTTTTTCTATAGAAAAAAATTCGGAGACCCTCAGGTCGGAGTTTTTTTCTAGCGTATGACTGTTATTATTTATCTCTGACCCATCATGCGTATGATTGTTATTAATTTTAATTGTTGTTTTAGAAAGCAAATATGTTGCTGTTCTTCTTCTTCTTTCAGAATTTCCAAGCAATTTGAGTAACAAATAATTTTTCGAATAAAATTCCGATCCTTATTAAGTAAATAATCTCTAGATGTCTATTTTAATATTCATAATTCCATATGGCTTTAATTATCCTGCAAGGATATTGAGTGTTCATTGGTGAGGATAGCAAAAAGGGGGACAAAAAGGATAACTATTCACATCTGGTTCGGTAATCATCAAGAGCTCTTCTTCGGCAAATATTGTCATTCATCTGCCGGATGTTGGGTAATGGGAGTCTGAGTCAAGAGCAAATTGTTTGTTGAGTAAATTATCCTTGAAGGATGAAAATGACACAAAAGGGAGCATATCATTGTGCCCAGGGATGGTAGAAGGAGAGGTACAATTTTATAGTTCTATGTGCTTGTAGATTTACTCATAGATAACTAGTGGTCTTTTTGTCGGAACTATGAGCAAGGATGTGAATAGTTATTGTCCTTAATTCAAATTCACAATGACTGGCAGGATAATACAGGCAAAGAAATTAAATATTCAGTTGACTACTATTGCTGGTGAGAGAAATCTCCCCCATTTTGGAAATTTCTACCCACAATTTTCAAAATTCAAATATTCAAATTTATATTCCCATGTCCTTCGCATGAATATCCTTTTGGTGGTTTTTGGACTTACCTGAACATGCCTGCGGTGGCAGTGGAAATATTAATGTTGTCGAACTTTTGCGACGAGCAACAGCACAACCCAGCGACTGCGGTTTAAAGCTTCTCAGCTGTTGCATAAAATCGGAGCACTCCATGAGGGCAACGTCTGCAAAATGCAGGTCGCAAAGGATATGGTTCTGCAGGGTGGAAGAGAAAAACAAAAAATAATATCAACAACATCAGGTCAACTTTTATTTACAAATAATTTCAATATTACTTTCAAAGGCCCCAGGGTGGCGTATAAGTAATAATAATAGAAACCTAGAGGGGAACGTATAAGTAATATTAATAGAAAAGCAACACAGACGGGGTGGCGTATGAGTTATGGACATAAAGTTAACGCAATTGAAGGTAAAAAACAGGGTTTCCGAATTTTTTCTATAGAAAAGAACAGCGAACTGAGGTTCTCCGAATTTTTTTTTCTATAGAAAAAAAAAACAGCGAAAAATTTTTTTCTATAGAACGAATTTTTTTTATAGAAAAAAAAAACAACGAACTGAGGTTCTCCGAATTTTTTTCTATAGAAAAAACTTTAACCTAAGGGTCTCCGAATTTTTTTCTATAGAAAAAAAAAACAGCGAACTGAGGTTCTCCGAATTTTTTTCTATAGAAAAAAAAAAACAACGAACTGAGGTTCTCCGAATTTTTTTCTATAGAAAAAACAGCGAACTGAGGTTCTGCGAATTTTTTTCTATAGAAAAAAACAGCGAACTGAGGTTCTTTTTCTATAGAACTGAGGTTCTCCGAATTTTTTTCTATAAAAAAAAAAACAGCGAACTGAGGTTCTCCGAATTTTTTTCTATAGAAAAAAAAACAGCGAACTGAGGTTCTCCGAATTTTTTTCTATAGAAAAAAAAAAACAACGAACTGAGGTTCTCCGAATTTTTTTCTATAGAAAAAAAAGAACTTCGAACTGAGGTTCTCCGAATTTTTTTCTATAGAAAAAAAGAACTTCGAACTGAGGTTCTCCGAATTTTTTTTCTATAGAAAAAAAGAACTTCGAACTGAGGTTCTCCGAATTTTTTTCTATAGAAAAAAAGAACTTCGAACTGAGGTTCTCCGAATTTTTTTCTATAGAAAAAAAAGAACTTCGAACTGAGGTTCTCCGAATTTTTTTCTATAGAAAAAAAGAACTTCGAACTGAGGTTCTCCGAATTTTTTTCTATAGAAAAAAAGAACTTCGAACTGAGGTTCTCCGAATTTTTTTCTATAGAAAAAAAACAGCGAACTGAGGTTCTCCGAATTTTTTTCTATAGAAAAAAGAACTTCGAACTGAGATTCTCCGAATTTTTTTCTATAGAAAAAACTTTGACCTGAGGGTCTCCGAATTTTTGGCTATTGAAAAAACATCGACCTGAGGGTGTTCGAATTTTTTTTTCATAGAAAAAAAAAACTTCGAACTTCGTTTTCATTCTTAATTTTTTCTTCCTTTGAAAGGGGTATAGGGCTGCGTATGTTGCATATTTCCCCATAATATCACTTATACGTCCCCTTGGTTACCACAATTAATATTAGTTATACGCCCCATGGACCGATAATTAATATTTTAGGTATATTTCAACTTACCTTGAATCGTCTGGCCCTTTTCTGATTGCGCCCAGTCAAATTCAGACCACAGGAATTGCAGCGTAAACATTCCTCATGATAATGATTGTTATCATAGAGTGGTGAAGGTTCTGCAAAAAGGAAAAAACATAGATAAATTAATATTCGAAAAAGAAGAAGAAGAAATATTACAACTAATAATAATCCTCTCCCAAGGAGGACCCGCAAATTAGTTTCCTAATAATTAATTAATCAAGTGAACATCTGTTTTATTTTTTCCCCTGGTTTTGCTCTGAAGTACCTCTCATATTTGCCTTTTATGGCCAAATATGACATCGAGTTTATGATTATTAGCCCACTCATGAGCAGATGTTTCATGTCACAGGATAACATCACAATAATTGCCTACCACCACCCTTTTGCAAAAAATATTTATGAGAGGTACAAAGAGAGGGAGGGTGGTCAAGGCTAATAATATCATACATGAGCTTAGTAGCTGGAACGATGATGAAAACTCTACATCATTGTAATCCTCTGGCAAATGGACTTTAATGAATTTTTGGGGATTTTGAAAAAAATCTGTATAAGCATACAAATTGTGGGGACTGGCAGGTATTGGCTTAGGGCTTTTAATGGATTTTTTGATTAGGTGACAAGGTGGACAAATGGCAAGGACATTTGAGAGGGAGATGGCAAACCAAAAATGAAAAAAAAACTGCGACCTGAGGGTCTCCGAATTTTTTTCTATAGAAAAAAACTTCGACCTGAGGGTCTCCGAATTTTTTTCTATAGAAAAAAAACAGCGACCTGAGGGTCTCCGAATTTTTTTCTATAGAAAAAAACAGCGACCTGAGGGTCTCCGAATTTTTTTCTATAGAAAAAAACAGCGACCTGAGGGTCTCCGAATTTTTTTCTATAGAAAAAAACAGCGACCTGAGGGTCTCCAAATTTTTTTCTATAGAAAAAAAAACAGCGACCTGAGGGTCTCCGAATTTTTTTCTATAGAAAAAAAACAGCGACCTGAGGGTCTCCGAATTTTTTTCTATAGAAAAAAACAGCGACCTGAGGGTCTCCGAATTTTTTTCTATAGAAAAAAAACAGCGACCTGAGGGTCTCCGAATTTTTTTCTATAAAAAAAAAACAGCGACCTGAGGGTCTCCGAATTTTTTTCTATTGAAAAAAATAGCGACCTGAGGGTCTCCGAATTTTTTTCTATAGAAAAATTTCGTCCTGAGTGTCTCAGAATTTTTTTTTCTTTTGAGATGAATGGGTTCCTTTTGGAATTTTTGGAGGATTAAGGTGCGTATGCGTTATATTTTTCCTGTGCCATTGATCATACGCCACCCCTCTCTGAAATAATAATACTCATACGCCACCCCCATCCTTCGTTAATTTTAATGTTGTTATTAAAAATGCAAGAATTTCTCCCCATATTTCCATTTGGGTTATTTTTAATTTGAAGAGCCATTTAAAATTTTTTTCTTCCCTACTCTTCTTCCTCATAATCGTCACACATGTATGTATACATGTGTATGTGTGTTTAATGCGGAATTTTTATAAAATCTAAAGGGCTAGTTATTAGAGCATGCATTTAAACAATAATAAAAAAGTCCGCTTATTGAGGTTAATGTCGGACAATAATCGTAAAAATTAATACGCCCTTTTAAAATGTGTAACATTGTGGGTTGGAAAAAAATCGAAGTAGAAGAAGAAAATTTTAATTTAAATTTAAAATTCGAAAGTCCTTAAAAAGGTGTGGATTTAAAAAAATGTGTTTAGGTTCCTAGCCTAGGCTCAAATTTCTTAAACATATTTTTGAAGCCTTAAAAATGTTCTCTGAAGGCTATTCTTAGGCATATATTCCAATTGTTTAGAAATAAATGTTGGAAACTATATTTAGACGTAGATCAAAGAAAGTAGAATATCTGCAGCTCTTTCTGTACCTACTGTACTCATCTAGGAAGAAGAATACCTGCAGGTCTTCCACAGGAAAAATAATACCTTCGGCATTCGTATAGCAAGAAAATTACATGCAGCCCTCCAGGTATTCCACAGGAAGAACAATACCAGCAGCTCTTCCACAAGAAGAAGAAGAAGTCCTGTATCTCTTCCACAGCTTTCCTGTAGGAAAAAAATTACATGCATCTCTCATATAGGAAGAAGATTAAGTCTCCTATAGGAAGAATACCAGCAGCTCTTCCACAGCTTACCAGTAGGAAGGAAATTACATGCAGCTCTCCTATAGGAAGAAGATTACCTCCAGGTCTCCTATATGAAGAATGCCAGCAGCTCTTCCATAGGAAGAAGAATACCTGCAGCTCTTCCGCAGGAATAAGAAAACCTGCAGCTCTTCCATAGGAAGAAGAATACCTACAGTTCTACTCTAAGAAGAAAAAGGCCTGCAGTTCTAATCTAGGAAGAAGACCTCCAGCTCTCCGATAGGAAGAAAAATACTTGCAGCTCTTCCACAGGAAGAAGACTCCTGCACGTCTTTCAAAGGCAGAATTATACCTGCAGGTCTTCCACAGGAAGACGAATACCTTCAGTTCTTCTCTAGGAAGAAAAAGACCTAGAGTTTTCTTTTAGGAAGAGGAATACCTGCATCTCGCCTATAGGAAGAAAAAATGCCTCCAGCATTCCTATAGCAAGAAAATACATGCAGCTCTGCTATAGGAGGAAGAATACTAAGTTTGGAAAAACTAATAAGATGGACAAAGCTTGGATGAAATCAAAATAATCTCAATCCGACACCCGTTCGAAATATATATGGTACGTTGTGCAAAATTTCGTGTCAATCGGACAAACATTAGGACTTTGGTGCACCATTTACCTAAAATCGGACTAAAATATGTATGTGGGACCTATATCTAAATCTAAACCGATATTCTCGAAATTTAACACACCACATTTTAGACTCAATTTAGTACGCTATGCCAAATATGGTGCAAATCGAAAGATATATAGGGGCTTTGGTCCTCCATTTACATTAAATCGGACGAAAATATATATGGTAGCTATATCTAAATCTGAACCGATTTTCACGAAACTTAACATATGTAATTCTAGGCTCAATTCAGTGCGCTATACCAAATTTCGTGCAAATCGTAAGATATATAGGGACTTCGATGCACCATTTACCTCTAATCGGACGAAAGGGTATATGGGAGCTATATCTAAATCTAAACCGATTTTCACGAAACTTAGCACACATCATTCAGTACTCTATGCCAAATTTCGGTCAAATCGAGATCTATATAGGGACTTTGGTGTACCATTTACCTAAAATCGGACGATTATATATATGGGAGCTATATCTAAATCTGAACCGATTTTCACGAAATTTAACACACATCGTTCTAGACTTAATTGAGTACGTTAAGCCGAATTTCGTGCAAATCGAAAGATATACAGAGACTTTGGTGCACTATTTACATAAAATCGGACGAAAGTATATATGGGAGCTATATCTAAATCTGGACCGATTTTCAGGAAACTTAACATACGTCATTCTAGACCTAATTCAGTACTCTGTGTCAAATTTCGTACAAATCGAGAGATATTTAGGGACTCTGGTACACCATTTACCTAAAATCGGACGAATCTATATATGGGAGCTATATCTAAATCTGAACCGATTTTCACGAAATTTAACACACATCGTTCTAGACTTAATTGAGTACGTTAAGCCGAATTTCGTGCAAATCGAAAGATATATAGAGACTTTGGTGCCCAATTTACCTTAAATCGGACGAAAATATATATGGGAGCTATGTGTAAATCTAAACCGATTTTCACGAAACTTAGCACACATCATTCTGGACCTAATACAGTACTCTATGCCAAATTTCGTGCAAATCGAGAGATATATAGGGACTTGGGTGCACCGTTTACCTTAAATCGGACGAATCTATATATGGGAGCTATATCTAAATTTGAACCGATTTTCACGAAATTTAACATACATCGTTCTGGACTTAATTGAGTACGTTAAGCCGAATTTCGTGCAAATCGAAAGATATATAGAGACTTTGGTGCACCATTTACATAAAATCGGGCAAAACTATATTTAGGAGCTATATCTAAATCTAAACCGATTTTCACGAAACTTAGCACACACCATCCTGGACCTAATTCAGTACTCTATGCCAAATTTCGTACAAATGGAAAGTTATATAGGGACTTTGGTGCACCATTTACCTAAAATCGGACGATTCTATATATGGGAGCTATATCTAAATCTAAACCAATTTTCACGAAACTTAGCACACATCATCCTGATACTAATTCAGTACTCTATGCCAAATTTCGGGCAAATCGAGATCTATATAGGGACTTTGGTGCACCATTTACCTAAAATCGGACGAATCTATATATGGAAGCTATATCTAAATCTAAACCGATTTTCACGAAATTTAACACACATCGTTCTAGGCTTAATTGAGTACGCTATGCCAAATTTCGTGCAAATCGAAAGATACATAGAGACTTTGGTGCCCAATTTACCTTAAATCGGACGAAAATATATATGGGAGCTATGTGTAAATCTAAACTGATTTTCACGAAACTTAGCACACATCGTCCTGGACCTAATTCAGTAAATTATGCCAAATTTTGTGCAAATCGAGATATATATAGGGACTTTGGTGCCTATATCGGACTAAAATATATACGGGAGCTATATCAAAATCTGAACCGATTTTCACCAATTTCAATAGGGTTTGACCTTGGGCCAAATAAGTGAGCTGTGCCAAATTTCATCCAAATCGGATCATAAATGCGACCTGTACTTTCTTTACAATTTAACATGGGCAGACAGACGGACAAATCGACTCAGTAAGTGATTGTATGCATATTCTCAAAAGGAACTGTGAGTTTATCCCTGTACCACAGTATGGCGAAGGGTATAAAAACGACAACACATTAAACTTGTTGCAATAACTCATAAAAATCTCTGCAAAACGAACTTTTTTATTTTCATTTTTTTCTCAAGCGATCCCCTTGGGGTATTCTACAAGAAAAATAAATCGTTTAATAGATTGGCATTGTTCCATGCAAATGAATTTCTAAGAACGATGGAAGACTTTGCATATTTCCGGTGAATTTATTTGCATTAGAGTTTTCCTGGTTGCTA